AAAAAAAAAAAAAAAAAATCTATAGCCAATATGAGTGTATTTAAAAGCTTGCAAGGGTCCAAGTACAAAACAAGCAAAATGTAGGCTCTTAATTTCTCAACAATCAGCACTCTATTTTATGAGTTGTGAGAATCAAAGCTGTATAAAATCAAAGCTACCTAAACAAATTGACTTTTTCATAAGACTGTTTACCCGTTCAGACTTTCATTTGCTCAAGTAAGCAAGCTTCTAGAGCTTCTCAGCTGAACCGGTAAACTTTTCTGAAATTCAAAACATAATTGAGTGTACGCACCATTGTATAGCTTGTGTGAGAATGAGGGAGCCACCAAACTGAGCGGTAAAGATTGAGGAATTGGAAAAAAGTTGCCGCGTAAGTGAAGACAAACATGACAATTTCAAACATGAGTGCACTATCTTCTACGATTTTCGGCAGTCGAATGTGTTTCGGTGCAGTTAATTTCCCTTGAGATCCACACCTGTAAAAATCAGAGGTGATTAAAACAACACTCTCCTACAATGATAAAAACAACTCTCTGCTACAGTAATGATGCTTTGTTAGCAATCCTGTGAATTGAGGAAATATTCTTTCATGTTAAGTTCTGTAAGGAGCTTCAAAGGCTGTTGGGTTATGGGTCAGAATGACATGCGATATTTTGCATAGATGGCTCCAAAGAGCTGTTATTCTCATTAAATTATAAGATCACATTACTGTTATCGCGAGTCATTGCTAACTTTGATAAACAAATTCAGCGCGGCCAAGGTAGGAATTTTTGAGAGGAAAAATAACACAATTTATAACGTAACACGTCACTGAAACGCGCTGTTATCAGAATTGCAGTCGGATGCAATATTTGTCCATCCTCTCATAAAATCCTGTCTTTGCAACGCTGAGTTTCCTAAATGAATCAAATTACTAAGTAAATTATTTAGTATTGCGATGACAGGAATGCGATCACAAAATACAATAAAATAAGAATAACAATTAGATGAAAAAATGGATCTAAGTAATTTACGCAATAAGACATATACCTAGTGTTTTGACTCATTCTCTTTCAGCCATCGAATCCCCAAAGGGACTGACTCAAAATGGACTTTACACTCATGCTTCCTTAAAATCAATCAGCGTCTGACCAAATAGTAGTTCCTGAAAATCCATTGTACACGTAAGTATCTAAGCTTATCGCCAATGCCTCCCCAAAATCAGTAAAATTGACTCCAGTTGTATCACCTTTTTCAGTGTGCGCAGATATGTGAATGACTGTGCGACGCACCCTGCACATATCATGGGTTTGTTTGTTGCTCTTATGACGTGAGTTGCTGCGGTGTGGTGGATAGCGACAACGTAGCATGAGCGTAAAGGTCCCCTTATCAGTCCGTGTACATGAGTTTTAGCATAGCTGCTCTCTGTGACTTTCATTCTTGAAATTGCTTTACATGCTCCGCCTTTTTCCTCCAGAATTATCCTCCGTAGTAACAACAATCCCTCATCATTTCTACTAGGTGATGCAATATAAAAATTTTGTCATAAAGCATCCGTGGTCAAATACGTACGATCCTTTAAGATAAGCACCAATATCTTACTATTCTGTGGAGTTACCTCAGAGTTGAAGCGCGCAGCTACTGCATGGTGAAACTTCTACCCCTAAGACCTTTGAGACAGATGGTGACCAAAGACAGATGAGAATCAGAGACAGATTATTGTGCGGTAGGAGAGACTTTCGAAAGAAAATCTGGCTTCATAAAAACCGAAAATGGTTTCTGAGACAAACATTTGGAGGAAGGAGGTGGAAAAATGTATCATAATGGACTTACTTGTATTTGTACAGATCGTCATTCAGCGGTTGAGGAGGGCGATGGGACGACACCCGGCTTAAATTTCGGCGCCCCATTACTTGGCTGATTGAGTCACGTTTTGAGAAACGAAAGAGAACAAGATTCGAGGCAGTGCTTGAAAGAAAAATCAGAATTAACCACGCATCTTGAAAACTAATGAACGACACGACGACGTAATACGCAAATGACACAATCTGCGGAAAAAACAATCTAAAAAAATTGCATAAAAAGAGGCATTGAAGGTTCTCAATTATTTGAGGTTATGGTTATGATTCGGAAAAAGAATTTTCTTCCCTGTCCAAAAATTTTCATCGTGACGTCAAAGGTGGAGTGAATTGGAACGTGATTGGCCAAGTTACATTCAGAATGAGCCAATGAAATGCTTTGTTTCGACTGAAGTGATGCCTTATTGGATAGTTGCGTGTTGCGTGTGATTGGAAGATTGGATTGTTGGTTACGTTCCAGAATTCATCTTTTTGATGGATCGTCAATCAGTAGTATAGTAGAACATGGCGTCATGCTGACGTAACCGATGGAGTCTGATGGAAGGTCAGATGACGTATCCTCGATTGATCCCAAAAACGCTTTGATGAAATTTTCGATGAACGGGTTTGTTTTGTTTACTATTATCACTTATCAGCGAAGCAATCTGTTTTCGTTTACTTCAATTTTAAGTGATTGGGGCTTCATGTTAGTAGCGAAATTGCTGGCAATTCAATCATTTAAGTTTTTCGATTATTCTGCAGGATTTGTTTGGAATCTTGTCCTGCCATCTGTTAAAGTTTACCCATGTGAAGTTGCTATTGTAGAGTGTTTTGCTTTTTTGAAGTTATTTGTAACTGCTCTTTCCATGTCATTGGACACCTTACACTTATCTTTACATGATATCTTTCTGCTTACATGCTAGAGATCTGATGTTTCATCTCACCAGCTGATTAAAGGCAGTCAAAACAGATGATCCTGCAGGAATCATCTGTCCGTTTAAGTGTTAGTACCTAAGCATTTCTCTCAATACGTAAGTAGTCCTGATCGCTTTCTCAGTGGCTTGTCGCTACTTTGTTCGCACACATTGTTGAATACCCCAACAACTTCAGGCGAGAAATCAACCATTGAGGAGAGCATTAAAGTCCTCAACAAGGAAGCTGAGCCACTGAATATTTCTTGAGAACTAAGGTTGTGCAGATGGACCTGCAAGTTTGCCTGGTTTCAGGAAATTTTATTGGCAGGCTTTGTAACATGGCTTTCAGTGGAAGCAATCGCAACAAAACCTTGGTAACTATCAATATTATTAAATGAGTTAGATAGCATCTCAGGAGATTCAATTGTGCTCTGCGTCAGAGCTTAGTACTGAGACTTCCGCAGACTCGCAGACTGTGTTCATTCTTTGACACTTTGTCCAAAGAAGTCAAGTCCTATTCTACAGAAATTTTGGATGAAAATCTCATATTTTGTATACTCTTTGAAGTACTTGGACCAACGAAACTTCTCCTAGTGAAAATTAATTATGAATATGAATATTCAGATATGAGGCTGTTCATTAAATATATGGCGCTCAATTTTGGATTGATCCCTCTCCTTTCCCTCTGATAATGCTTTTGTGACCTACGGGCCCCACTTACGTCAAGACATAACGGTGTGACGCTAACCCAAACACCCATATGAATGCATGTCTAATATTTTCAGAACTGCCTCTAAGATGAAGAAAAAGCAACTTCAATTTTTACTTACTTCTACTGAGGGTAGGCCCTACTCATCTGGGGTTGAAGGGAGAATGTGTCCAGTTGGCATTGATGGCGTTTCAAACCATTATAGAACATTGCTATAGCAGGAGATAAATTCAGCTCTTCATACAAATTATTAGTGATGAAACTTCCATGTTAACATCGAAAAATAATATTGAATCAATGCTGAAAGCGATAGGCAATAGCACGGAAAGGTAAGTGAAAATGTATCAAATTGATAGCTCATAGTGCCAATGAAAAACCACCAGCGCACTTTGCTTTTGTCAAAGGACAAAGGTATTCAAATATTGCACTTACACAATGTTACAGCCAATTAACTTGGAGCCTAGTTGCAGCAGAATATAAAATTAAAATGAAATGACCTTTGATCTGTTAGTACCAATCTGTCCGCGGGTAATATCTTGACCATGGCAACACAACACTTCGATGATCAAAACTTCCTGGATACATACATAATTTCATAGTCAATAGATGAAAACCACGAATTATCACAGGCTCCCAATATTATTCCCATTCGAAATAAACTAAAAAAAACCTAATACATCTCATAGAAAAAGAGAATACTGAATAATGGAAAAATTGTCTATTGTTGGGACATATTAATTACTTATTTAGTTTATATTTGGACTTTGGAGGTTAATTACGTCACGCGACGTCATCTACATCGGCGTGCATCGGCTTCATCGAACTCCGGAGTACGATTGATCTGGTTGATCCGGTTGATCTACTCTACGTCATAGCGATGGAATCAATCAGAATTCCAAAAACGCTTTGATGGATCTGCACCGATGAATCGTCTACTATTCACCGGTCCCGGAAACACTTTGATGCACAACCGATTCAATCGATTTACACAACACCAACTAACAACATACCATCCAGCGATGAGGAAAAATATTGGAGGTTAGG